TGTTCTGATTCGGGACTCACACACGAAACCTTTCAGTTGCATGTTCGATGTCCAAGCCACACTGCTACCCGACTGATCATCGGGAAGCGTTAAAGTTTCTGTTTTTTTTGCAGTTTGACTCAGCTCAGCCAGCTTGACATCTTTTTTGTTTGCCATTTCGGCTCGTTTGTTTTATAGATCGTAATAGTAATTATCTTTCCCTTTCAGTGTCTTGCGATATTAAATGAGTCGAAGTATTTTGACAGCATCATACAGACGTTTCGAATAATGCCCACATTAACTATCGACGTCACTATCAGCTGTTACCGCTGCTTTTCCGTCTCTCCTTTTTGTGACCGTTGTGATGAACCATGTTGCTACTGTCTGAAATGGTGTGTTGTCTAAGCATGTTGACTCATTTCATGTTTCCAGCCGTTGAATTGGAAGGATTTTTATTGTTGTTATTGTTGTTGTTATTCACAGAATTACTGTCAAAACCAAAAGACATTTCATTAAGTAAGTTTTTAACTTTGCGCAGGATTCGAACCGGGCACATGTTGATTGTGTAAGGCCCTCGTGCAATTTCTGACCACATTTTTTTCCAGGTCAGTACGGCAATGATAGTCGCGGGCTGGGATTCTTGCGTCTGCACAGCACGTACCGACATGACCTGAAAATCTATGCATCAGAAGAGGGCCGCGTGCAGATGACCGCTGCCGCTTTCGCAAAGGTACGTGATCAGTCGGCTGTTATCCAAATCTCTGCTGGGCGATCATTTACCATTGACTATAGGGCATGCTAGCGTTGGAGGGACAGCTTCCGCCGATAATCGTGCAGATGGTAAAATCGGCGAATACTGATGGCCTGCTTGACGACGACAACGATGCAAGACAGTATCAGAGGTCGGTTAAGGTATTTCTGCACTCATATTTGCAACAGGACCGTTGTCTCACCGAAGAGGATTTCTTGAGAGTAAGCTTTCTATCGAAGATTTATAGCGTGTTTCATTGCCAGTCGTCGTCACCTGCAGCCGGTGATTTAGCTGAATCCGACCAGATCGATCTTTATTGAAAATGCGTTGCGTTTTATCGAAAATCCCCGACGAATGTGCGTCAGGATTTACGAAATGATAATCAAGATGTACGAAAACGTGAAGAGGCTTAAGAATATGGGTACAGGTACGAGGAAAGTTTGCTTGCTTGATTCGATGTTGTATCGTTGCAATTTTTTCCATAGATGTTGTTCTGCAGAAACAAGTTATTTTAGATATGACAACATATTAGAATAAATTTAAATTTGATCCTTTACACCATGCAATTTTAGTCAGCTATCAAGTAGGTCGAGGGGAATTTTAGCAGTTATTTGCGGCCATCAAACAGCATGTAGATACACCTCGCACACTCTGGCACCCCACGCTACAAAACCACGCTCGTCCTGTTGTTCGCAGCTCATCGACTTACTACCCGTTTCACGGTTGGTTGCGTTGAAGTGCTGTGGAGTGAATTCATTGTTCAGAGGAATTAGCAGCTAATTGTTTGCCGCATTGAGTTAGAGTTTGACACTTCTAAAACGCAGTACTAAATTACAATGCACGGCTCCATCGTGCTACGTAAATGTTTTGTTAATTCATGAACAGTGAACGTCGAGCAAGCCTCGAAATAAATATTCCTGCCGTCCTTGCAGTTTTGGCGTATATGATCTTCGCTTGCTAAGTCGTCAGATAGTTTTTCAAAAGCCTGGTTCCACGTAGTCCCCTTAGAGTTGTTTTGTATTTTCCCCTATCGCCAACAGTCTCACTGCACGGACAGCGGGTCTACCGGTCGATTTGTTCTGCCTGTTCGGTTACCGCACGCATGTAACTAGGGCAAAATATTAAGTAGACATCAATTGTATTGGCATGTTGTGTATTGGTGAATACGTGCTTTTAGTCGTACTGGTGTGCATAGTCTATTGCGGGTCTGGATATTGTTCTTGACTATGGTTTCTGATGCTTCGATTAGAAATTAGATTAGTAGACATGAAAGAATAAGTTCTTAATCGCCTCCTCTGAAGTTGAGACCATTACAAATTAATCACACTTTTGATCTCTTGCAAATTTGTTTGTTGCCCTTGCCGCTGCGAATCTAATTAGCGGATCTATTTTGACTTTATGGTAGGCCTTCATGGTGCCTTCGAGCTTGGGAATATCATATTTCGCCTTTTTGATCGTTGCTGATTTTCCGTATTGGAAATACTTCTGATTTCGAATCTTCTAGCATGAACAGCGTTAATACGTTTTCCTCAAATGAACTACGGCCCCAAAGGTGAAATCACGCTACTCTGTTTTCAGTGGTCAGTTAATTTGTCTGTTTGGCGTTTTATGCATATGTCTAGTATCTTGCTTTAGAGGCCTGCTGAGAGTTAAATTTGCTTTAGGTGACCGGCTTTACATGGGTGAGACATGGGACCTTGCTGAGCGTCGATGGGGAAAACTGGTCAAAGATTTTCGGCATGTCAAACGAAGCGGTGAGGTGGTGTTCGATATCTCTAAAATTCCCGACATCTACGATGTGCCTGTTTGTGCTTTTTTCTCGATTGGTTCATGTACATCGCTCTTCTAGTGCATAAAGTACGATCTGCAGCACAACGCCAGAATGTTGAACTTGGATAATGACTCCGAACTGAACGAAGATCTGTATATCTGTTCTAAGCACATGGCTGACATCGTCGTTCCTCAGGTGACAAACTTTTCGTAATAAACGTACAGCAGTTAGCGATCGTGCTTTCTGTCGGTGTAGGTTTCGTTTACCATAATATCTTGCTGAAAAATGATGGAAATTTAGGAATTGTGCATGAAATTCTAGATTCACCTTTCTGCTTACCCTTACCCGTACATAGTGTTGCTTCTTTAGTTGTTCCCCACTTTGCTGGAATCTGAGTTTTATAGGAGTACGGAATCACTACACAGGAGAAAATCATGATTGGACAAGGCATATGTACTCCGTTAATCAAGAAGCTGCGCAGCGATTTGAAACGGTGTATCGAAGGAACGGCTGAAGAAGAAAACCTCACTAGACTGGATCCACGGTACCTCATTCAGTTTCTCTTTATGATCGTAATGCAGCTGTGGTTGTTTAAGCAGAAACTTTACACACGTGACATAGCAACGATTGCCAGCGGATCTCTGAGAAAATATTCGCTGATCGCCCTCATTACGTAACGTGCTAAAAGTTTCAGTTTTCACTCCTTTTGTTCCTGAAGTGCGAACGTCGAATTCGCAGTTGTTGCGGTGCCCATTCATTTGCTTTACTATTTCTCTAAGGCATTCACAATGGTTGATCTTTCACATCTATAGTTTGCAACCGTATTTAAGAGCATTCACTTGTAGATGTTGACAAACGTGGGTTTATGGTCAAGGTCTTCTTTAGGAATAGATAGATAGATTAAATGTAAAAATCTGGTTGCCGACTACAATTCCCACATTATCTGCATTTTTTATGCAGTGTCCGTTTTGGTCTGTCAATATGATTCATGAGTCGCTGAATGGAAGGATTACACGTCCCTGTCAGTACGAGTCTCTGAAAGCATGATGAATTAAATCACTTTGGCGTATTTCTGTTTAGCCGAGGATGCTGACTCGACTCAAAA